AAAAATGGTTGCAGCAGTAACCATTGACAGAGAACTTCCAAGCATGCAAGCTGGATTCAGAAACGGATGCAGAACGAGGGTGCAGTGTAGTAAATTACCTGGTACGGCTTTTATACCATAAGTCTTTATAAGCTCTGTTGTAGAATTTGCTGTGGGAACTGAGAAGCTCCTGATTGTTAAAGTTATCCACCTGGGGTATTTCTGTTGAAAGTGGCACAAAGCAGTGTTCTGGGAAGTTCACTCTCTCTCACATGCTTAGAATTCTGATGTTATGACTGGTTAGTTGGCCACTCTGCCAAGCTCAAAAGGAGCCCTCCTAGAGGCAGAAGGAATCTCTGACTGCTGGCTGAAAAAGACGTGCTGCTGAGAAGAACACACTCCTGAGAGGCACGCGCTGCTGAGAAAGAGACACTGAGAGACATGCACTGCTGGGAGAGAGACACCGAGAGACATGCACTGCTGAGAGAGAGACTGAAAAAGACCATTAGATGAGAGACAGTGGGCTGAGAGAGACTGAGCGTGTTCCTGAACTTCAATTGTAGCCTGTTGCCTCCCTAATAAACCCCATAATCTGTGAGTTCTGTGTGGCCACTGCAGTGAACTATTGAACCCAGCAGAGAAATGGTGGGTACTGCAGGAGGAACAGTTGGTGTCAGGGTTGGTGAAAGGGCTGGAGGGAGGCAGCATGTCTGGCCTCTCAGGGATAGGCCTTGGGCTGCTGATGGTGATTCTGTCTTCCTCTTCTGGGGTCAGAGGAGGTCAGAAGATGCAATCTCCCTGCCCCTTTGGGAGGGATATCATTGCTGATGTCAGATGGATCTTGGCTCAAAGCAAAGAATTCCAGAAAGATGTTTACTTGTCTTTTATTGACTATGCCAAAGAATTTGATTGTGTGGATCATAACAAATTGTGGATAATGCTGAGAAGAATGGGAATTCCCGAACACCTAATTGTACTCATGAGGAACCTGTACATAGATCAGGAGGCTGTCATTCAAACAGAACAAGGGGACACTGCATGGTTTAGAATCAAGAAGGGAGTGCATCAGGGTTGTATCCTTTCACCATACTTATTCAGTCTGTATGCTGAGAAAAAAATCTGAGAAGCTGGACTCTAGGAAGAAGAACTTGACATCAGGATTGGAGGGAGGATCAATAACAACCTGCAATATGCTGACAACACAACTTTGCTTGCTGAAAGTGAGGATGACTTGAAGCACTTACTGATGAAGACTGAAGAATACAGTCTGCAGTATGGATTACATCTCAGTATAAAAAAAAAGCAAAAATCCTCAGAACTCGACCTATAAGTAGCTTCGTGATAAATGGAGAAAAGATTGAAGTTGTCAAAGACTTCACATTGCTTGGTTCTACAATCAATGCCAGTGGAGGCAGCAGTCAGGACATCACACGACGTATAGCACGGGGCAAATCAGCTGCAAATGACCTCTTTCAAATGCTGAAGAGTAAAGATGTGTCCTTGAGGACTAAGGTGCACCTGACACAAGCCACGGTATTTTCAATCACCTTATATGCTTGTGACAGCTGGACAATGAATAAGGAAGATCAAAGAAGAGTTGATGCTTTTGAGTTGTGGTGCTGGCAAAGAATGCTAAAAGTACCACAGATTGCTAAAAGAACTAGCAAATCTGTCCTGGAGGAAGTGCAGCCTGAATGCTCCTTGGAAGTGAGAATGGCCACACTTCCTCTCACTTACTTTGGTCATGTTGTCAGAAGGGACCATTCCCTGGAGAAGGATGTCATCCTTCGTAAGGTGGAGGGGTGATGAAAAAGGGGAAGGCCCTCAACGAGACAGATTGACTCAGTGGCTACAGCGATGGAATTATAGCCACGATCGTGGAGCTGGCACAGGACCGGGCAGTGCTTCGTTCTGCTGTCATAGGGTTGGTATGAGTTGGAGACAACTCAACAGCATTTAACAACAACAACAAAGTCAATTCTAAATTTAAATTCAACAAGCTTGTAGGGTGATGGATCAAATATTAGCCATTTAGGAGTGACTAAAAGAAATCCAAGTATGTAACCCAGCTAGTGCATGGCCTTGGTTTCAACCTCATGTTATGAGTAACTGTTTTAAACTTGAATCTCCAGGTGCCTCTACCTGATACTACTTCCTTTGGAATCAAGATGCCTAGTCTTGTTTATCTCAGGTGAATACCTCATGCACTTTAGAAATAGCACTCTAAGACTTATCTGTATATGAAGACTCTTATTCTATAAGACCATCAGAGGCTGGAAATTCTGACTCAGATTCAAATTCCAAATGAGGCCACCATGAGGCACTCCCCCTAGGTGAATTACTGACACATCATTTATGTAAACAACCAGAGCAGTGTTCTCATCAATGGCAATCATACAAATAGAAAAGATTTGTAAGAAACCTATAACTATTGCTGGCAGAAGTTATTAATGATATCATCCTTGCCCCAGATGAAATACAGATCAATCTCAACTCATTAGCACAAGTAGTTATGGACAAATACATTGCTTTAGATTTCCTGTTGGCTAGTAGCCTTGGTAGCATAGTGCCTAAGGCACTTGACTATTAACCAGAGGGCTGGTGGTTCAAACCCACCAGCCACTCCTCGGAAGAAAGGCTGGGCAATCTACTTCTGTAGTGATACTGCCTTGAAACCCGAGGAGGGGTTGCTATGAGTCAGGTCTGACTCCAAGGCACATAACAACAACAACAACAACAACAACAAAAACAGTCTTGATGACATCTGTGCCATGGGTAACACTTATTGTTGTACATAGGTCAATTAAACAGGAAAAGTGGATCAGGCTATACCTTACTTTAAGGATAAAGATACTTGGCTGTCTAAGATTGATTCTCATGGCCTATGGGATTTGTTCTCTTGGCATGGGTTGCCCAGTTGGGGCTCCCAGTGCCAAATCATCTTACATGGACTGTTACTTGTTCTTGTTTTTGATGTGGTAGTCATGATGCTGGTCCACTGCATTCCATCTAGAGTCTGCTCTCTCTCATCAGATGGCCATGGTAAAAAAACAAAAAGGCCAAGAATATCTCAACCTACTGTGACTGAACTGACTAGTGATGACTGAATACCCTCTGAGCTATGAAGATCTGAATGTCTCACCTTCCTGGGATTGGTCTACTCTTACAAGTGAGATGACCAAAAGGAGGGGGACTAAGAGACTGAATATACAGACAACGGCCAGACTATAGTTGATAAATGAATTCTGATATACCACCCCTGAAGCAACCGAATCAGCACCCAGCCCAATCTGGTCTGACTTGGCCCAAGGCTGAAATTCTCCCAATTTTTGCCCCCTATCCTGTCCTGCTTCTGACTCAGGACCAACCAGAGAAACCAAATATGACCTCAATCAATCACATAGGTTATCTGCTTCTATTTAGCTGACCCCAGACCCCCACACCAACACCTCCACCAAGGTGCATCTGAACCTTCCCTTTTCATACTACAGCAGTCCCACTCCCCTGCCATCTCTAAGTCTCTGCCAAACACAGTGATGGGGGTGACCATTGCTGCAGCAGTGCTGGACAAACAGCCCCCTTGTTCTCATGTGTGTGATTTGCATTTATTCCATAAAGTCTGTCCTGTTACTTAATTTCTGAAGAAAAATTTGATCTTGATCATCATATTTTAATAACGACTAAATATATCTTTAAATAACTTTTGGCATTTTTTTAAAAAAATGGAAACATATCAAAACATTCAGACTTGATGTACTGACAATAGTATGCAGAAATGTGATATACACATACATGTTTATGTCTTTCTCTGTCTTTATCTACCCAGGGCTACACTGAGCTACACAAAGCTCTCCCAGAGGGGGCTATGGCTGCAGTGCTGGTATGCTGTTGAGAAGCACTGGCAGGTGGGGAGTTTTGGGGACAGGGGATCCAATAGCCAGACTTATGTAGTGGTTATGGGAGAGCAGAGAAGCTTGCGTGAGAGGGGTGGAGGCACACTGGCCTATGAATGAGTATGGCCTGAGGGCCAGCAGAGGCGGTGTGCCCTGGGTGAAGGTAGGGTTTGCTGAGGGCAAGCTCTATGCTCTGGGGTCAGGTTTGAGAAGCCATAAATGAAGTGGGCTTTCCCAACACACGTCAGAAATGGCTGGCTTAATAAGTAGAAGGGAGAGCTGCTGGCCAGGTAACAGGTGGACTGGATCAAGGAAAAGTTCTAGAGGAGGTGAGAAGACCTAAGAGAATGGACCCCTGGCAAAGCAGATTTATGGAGAAGCCCCTCAGTCCTGCCCAGAGAGAGATTCCATGTGTGTCTTCATAGGGGGTCTCTTACCTCTTCAAACTTGTATGCAATCATGGCAAAGGCCTTGAAGATGGCATCTGTAGGGCCAGTGATGGTCACAATTCTCTCTGGACAGTTTCCCTCTGAGATGTTGATTCTTGCACCACTCTGGAAGGGAGCCAGCAAATCCCCATGACCCAATTCATACACAGAAATACATACATGACCTGGTTCCTCCAGCTAGTCCCCAACAACTGGAGCAAAGAAATCTGCTGGGCACCTGACTGGCAAACCTAGCACTAGTAGCAAAATCCTTATCAGTAATTCCCTTTACTGTGACATTTTAATTAGCACAGGGACCCAGTATTACCTAGGCTCCTATGCTCAATGTAGTGTGCAGTGGGGACTATACAGGAGGGGGGCACACTTGCTCTCTTACTTGTACCCAAGCTAAAGTCACTGCTCCTCCTGTGTGTATTCCCTCCTATCCCTAGGATGTGGGTGGGATCCAGGGCAGGTCTGCATGAGGGTGGGCACACTTACCTCTTCACGCATTTTCTTCACAGTCTCTCCCTTCTGAAATAAATATCAGACACAAAGAAACAGGGTCACTTAGCTTCCATCTGACAGCACACAGGTGTCATGGCTGCATGGTGCCAGGTACTTCCTGCCTGTTGTGCTCCCACCTGCACAAGCCCAGAGAGCCTACCTCTCCAGGCACTGACTAGTGTGAGAAGTGGCAAACACCCTCCTTGGCCCATTCTAACCAGGTCTGACATGGAGTATGACTCTGCCTTGCAAGACAGTTACAGGAAAGGAAACTGAGGCACAAAGAAGGTGGGCTGGGGCATTTGCCCAAGAGCACACAGCAGGCAGAGTGGGGTGGGATTCAGACCAAGGTGATCTGACTTGGCATCTATGCTGAGCCATGGCACCACCCAATCCCACGCATGGCGCACAGATGGTGTCTGCACAATATAAAGTACAGGCAGAGGACTGGCCGTGCTGTCTGGATATTGCAAAGTGCAGGGCACAGGGCAGACAGTGATGTGTGCACACTGTAAAATACAGGGCACAGGGCCAGCAGTGATGTGTTCATACTGGAAAGGGCAGGCATGATGCACAGATGATGTTTGCATGCTGAAAGTGCAGGCATGGAGCAGGCAGTGGTGTGTGCACACTGTAAAGTACAGGCATGAGACTAGTAATGGTGATCCCACCTCTTCTGAAGCAGTATAAGAGGCCTAGGAAAAAGACTGGCCTGATCTAGGCAGCAGGCTATGCTGAATGGGACAGGCAGGAGGGCTCCTTCCCAGCCTCTCACAGAGCACAAGCAGACTGTCTTCTGTGACCAGCTTCAATGCTGTTGAGCTTGAAGATGAGGAAGGGGTCACCTTACAGGGGTCAGAGGACATGACCTGACTGGAAATACTTAGTATTCAGCCAGGCACCTTATCTACTGCAAACCTTGCACTAGGACCACTAGGCACAGCACCATGATGGGTATACCCACTGCTCTCATGCTTCACCTTACAAAGAATACCAAAAGTATGTAGTTCATCCAATAATTACCTTCCCAATGATGCTTCCAACTTCCTATAGGGAAAAACACAGAAAGAATGATGTCACAGAGCAGAAAGAAGAAAGTCTGTGATAGAGACTGAGAATCCTTCTCCTTTCTGGCTCAGAGAGAGAAAGGGAGATTCAGAATCTGCCCAGAGGGAAACACTGGGGGAATCCCCTTCCCACTGAATATTGGGATCCTGGGCCAATCATGAAGGAGCCCTGGCAGCACAGTGGTTACGCACTAGGCTATTAACTGAGAGGTCAGGGGTTGGAACACATCAGCTGCTCTGCAGAAGAAAGATTCGCAGTCTTCTTCCTTCAAGATTACTGCCTTGGAAACCCTATGGGGCGATTCTACTCTGTTTCACAGAGTTTCTATAAGTCAGAATCGACTTGATGACAATGGGTTTTGTTTTCTGGTTTCAGGCTGTTCTTGGTGGCCCCAGGCCATTCATGAAGGCTGCCTCTGTTTCCATTTATACCAAAGCCCAGATGACACTGCCTCTGCAAACCCAATAGGAGAGCAGCCTGGCTGCTTTATAAGTAAACAATCTAGGGGATATATTATTAATGTGCCCAAGGCCTCAGGGAAACCTTGCAGGGAAATGATGAAAAATAAAATCTGGTGACTTCATGATTTAAAGAACAGTAGCACTGTTCTTGCTATCTGACTTACTTCTAAAGGCTAAGATACTAACAGAAAAGCTTCCAGAAGTGGTTGAAGTTTGGCACCCTCAGGCGACTCCTGGATGCTTTTTTCCTATGGAGACTGGCCCCAGTTGCTGCGCATAAAGGAGCCCTGTGCCCCTCATAACAGGCAGGACCAGGCTGGCTACTCAGCTCCAGAAGTGGTACTGTCCAAGTCTGAGCCACTTCCTCAGTGCAGTGTAGTCCTTGGCATTGAACTTCCTAGTAGAAGTACCCCCTCTGCTACGGTTTAGCAGGGAGGGCAGCAGGGACTTTGGAGCCAAGAGGCTGCTCGGTTACCACCCATGAAGGCTGTGTGCCAGGAACTGGGTGGCTGGCCAGGATTTTGTTGCTGCTGCTATAAAGGAAACCATTACTTCACTGTCCAGAGAGCTGGCATGGTATGGATTCCAGTTGTCAACAAGTTCAACTAACTGCCACCACAGCTGGAAGAAGGCTGAGGCTGGTCCTTGTCCCTGGATCATAGAGCCTGACTTTCTGGATGTGAGTACCATCTGCCCTGGGATGGGAAGTCTAGGATGAGCCAATGATGCTGGCATTAGAGCCCTGACCTTGGCAACTCCCATTAGACCTTGCACAGACACTGGACAGAGAAAATCCAGGGAGCTCTGGGGCTCTAAACTGAATTTAGGGGTTATTAAGGTGAACTCATGGGTTTCAATGTAGGGAGACACATATAGAAACAAATATTTTATAAATGTGTGTACACTGTGTGTGTGTGCATGTGAATGTGTACACACACACACAAACATATTCCCTAGTTCTATCTAGGACCCACAATGCTCCACAAGCAATAAGTGCCTCCTTCTACCAGGTTCCTGGCTCCTGAAACAATCCCCTCTGCCATGATGAACAAGGGCTTCTTGAAGATATGGCCAACTCCAGGACTAGGGCAAGACATCCAAGATGAGCCCTAGCAGTGCTTTGAGTCAGAGAATAAGGGATCACTGACAGAAGATGGGAACTTATAGGGACACAGGGCCAGTGAAAAGGGGTCTCCACTGGCCAAGCCAGGGATAATCTAAGTACTGAGATAAATCATCACAGTTATGAGTAATGGGTGGTCATTTTCAGAAGTAGAAGTCAGAGAAAGATGAAGGAAATGATTCCAGATTGAAGAGAACTAGAGGTGAAAACTAATGGACTAAACACCAGGTCTTTTGTCATATGGGTGGGTATTCCTGGAGGGCTGGGAAACAGGAGTTGGGCTGAGGGTCAGCTTGCAGGAGTCTGTCAGCTGAGATGAATGTAGGGTGGTCATGGGGGATGCCCTTCCACATACAGGACACACAGTAAGGTGTTTGGTGACAGGCATGAATTGGCATCTGTCTTGAATATTCACGGGATATGTTATTTGGGCTGTACCTGAAACTGCTCTATAAGCATGAGATTGTTTATTTATTTTTTAATTATGAAAACCAAAGACTGGTTTGCCAGCTATGCCTCCCCACTCGAGGTGTCTCCTCTGATAGGTCCCCCTCTACCTTTACCTTCCCATGCATCAGCAGGCGGATTGTCAGTGTCACATTCAGGCCACCTTCTGAGACTTTGGACTCCATCCTTCTTCCAAAGTGCAGCTGTGAGTGCTGGCTTAAGATGCCAAGGACGTTGTGAGGAAGGATGGATGGGGCCCAGACAGTGTCACCTGGAAAGAGAAGGCACAGCCGCTGTGAACTGAGGACAATCTCAAGGTTATCATGTCTCATATTGACCTATAAGGACATTCTGCTCCTGGGTGGGCATGAGATTGTGCTGTCTGTCAGGCTCACCTTGATCCAGTTTCCCTACTGGATGTCCTCATCTCACTGGCCCCCATCTCAGCAAGTGGCCCATGAGACCCTCAAGTGGAATTTGGGGGCTGTCCTTGACCCTTTCTTACCTCCTACACACATTCTGCCCCACCACACACACTCTGCCACTGCACCCTGAGTGGGAATGCACCCTGCCCTAGTCCCTGCCCCATGGCCTGCTCTTGGCAGTAGCTCTCCCCTGGTCTCCCAGGGGTCAGCCTGTCCTGGCCTTTGTCATGCAAGGGCCAAGGTGGTCTCTGGAAAACCTTTGTATGATCTGACCTGAACCTTCTGAGGTATCCCTATTCACTTAAAAGAAAACCCAATTCTGGCCAGGACCTCCAGGAATTGACTTTTTCCCCTCTCTTTCCAAACTCCTTGCGAGTTTGAAGATCTTATTTTAGGTGAAATTAATTACTTATGTATTTGAGAGATATGAGGGGATGGTTGCCAAAGGAATAAAATTATATGCAGTTTCCTCTACTCTCAAGGAGATCTGGGGTGCAAGCAGTCTGAGCCAGACACATGGGACCAAGCCAGAGAAGGGGGCTGGAGCTCTGTGCATTGTTGGCAGGAGGATGGCCTAGGGTAGAGGTGAATGGCAGGGGAGGACTAGAAGGAAGGACTGAGAGGAATAGGGCCATGGGGGAGGACAGGCAGGCCACTGCCTGTATGTACCCCCCAGCTGTGATCATCCTTGTAATGTGCCACCCAGCCAGCTGCCCTTCACATAACCTGTAAATATAGGGCCCAGTGCACACACAAAAGAGTGTAATTAATTAATGTTTAAAAGTTGGGCAAATGCTTTTTTCCCTTAATCAAAACATTTTTGCTAAGAAAACTTTTAAAAGGAAAACACAAACAAAATATAGAAGCAAACAAATTACCTACGTGATGTATGTGAAGAAACATCTGCAGAGAGCAACCATTGTGATGGGCAGGTGAGTAAAATGTGACAGCTACTGACATGTTTCTGTGTTAGCAAAGATGCTGATGAGGATTCTAAAGAAACCTATTATACCTTGATGTTTTTAAAAAATGTGTTTACAGGTAATTTGGTCAACAAATAACTCAAATGATGAGTTGTAATTAATTTATTCATAATAAACTGATACTGTTTGAACAACTAGGATTTGATTTCTTTTTTTTTTTTTTTGCAAATCTGTTTTCCATTCAACAATTCATACACATTGTTTTATGCCATTGGCTACAATTCCCACAAGGTAAAAACACTCATTCCCCTTCCTCTCTCTGTTTCCCATTTCCGTCCCTCCTTCCTTCCTATCCTTTCCTGCCTTCTGAACTTTGTCCCTGGGCAAACGCTGCCCTTTTGATCTTGATGGTTGAACAATAGGATTTTAACATGAAGGTGCAAACAGAATTTTGAAGATAGTTCTTACAATACTAATGTTATATAGCTTTATTGTTCAAAATGGTAACCTCCAGCCATACAAGGCTAAATAAGCAGCCTTATATGCTGGTGGCTGTTGTCTGGGTGGCACAGATAGAGGACACATCTACCATGACAGGAGTCTCTGCTGGACAGTGCTGCTCACACACCACCTCCACACATTTGATGAGAAGTAGGGCATTCATGAGGTAAGGTCACACAGAAAGAAGAGGAAATGATTCAGTTCAAATGCTTAGTGTGATGACAAGTAAGTACCACTGATTCCCAAACAGATACCAGTCTGTGAGCTCAATCAATGCCTTTTTAAAAACCCGTTTATATGAGCTGGGATTCACAATGGCCACTTGGGGTTCATGTCTCCTTTTTAATTAAGAACATTCCCTCCAGGTCATGGGCAGCAGGGCTCTGTGGCTGTCTATTATGTAATGTCCCTGGTCTTGAGGAGGAAGTGGGTCAGCACTGGGCAGTGCTTCGGGCATCAGGGCTGTCAGCAGGCATCGCATCAGTCATGGGTCACCGCTGCCTTCTTGTTATGCAGTGGAGGGGACTGTTAATGTTGCCTTCTTTGCACTGGTGGGAGATAAGGAGTAGTCCTAGCTAGAAGCTGAGTTAACTGGTAACTCATGCCCTTGATGGAAAAACCCTTCTACTCTGGGCAGGCAGGGACATGAGGTAGGCCTAACCCAGGGTCTCAGGGAGCCCTCATCACCCCCATTTAGACCTCTGAGGGAGACCCAAGCTGATGGCAATACTTCTCTTATAGGGAGTCTCTCTTCTCTTCTCTTTGGTGATGAGATTTAACTTATTTGTAATTCAATTATTCTTACTGTGACAGGACTCTGGAGGGGAGAAGAGAGACACAGTGGTCACCCACTATGAGGACTGAAAGGGCCCAGAGATCAGTGGAACCTAAGTGGTGAGGGGCTCCAGTATGGCTGGCCTCACCTTTCCTGTCTATCTGCATTCAGGGGGTGAAATGAATACTCTTGGTAAAAATACTGGCTTCATGCTGACCCCATTCCCAGGTGTGCAGAAGCCCAGAACAAGGCTATAGCACCTGACTCCTAGATGCCCAGGGCTATCTAGATGTCAAAAAAACAAAACAAAAAAAAAAAACAAACATGGATATTAACGGACACTAGATCCAACATGTGTAGCACCATACTCCCATTGGCCTAAGTACTCGGGCCCAGACCTGGATGCTGCAATGAGCCCCTTCTCTTCCCCATCCTACCTGACTCATCAGTAAATCCTGCCAGCTCAGCCTACAGGGTGGACGCAAACTCTGAGGCCTTCTCACTCACTTGGCTGGCACCTGTCTCTCAGAGTAAAGCAAATGGCCTCACTATGGATAGATTTCCATCTGTTCATTTCCCATCATATGTGTTCTTCAGCAAAGTACCTATAAAAATCTTTTGCCCATTTAAAAAAAAATTAAGTTGCTTTATTATTGAATTTTGAGAGTTCTTTAAATATTTTGGATTCAGCTTATGATTTGCAAATATTTTCTCTAGTCTGTGATTTCTTTTTTTCTCTTGACAGTTGTCTTTCCAAGAATAGCTGTTTGTAACTTTGATGAAATAAAATTTATCAAAAATTCATGTTTTTGGTATGTTGTTGTTGTTGTTAGGTGCTGTCAAGTAGGCTCTGACTCACAGTGACCCTATGTACAACAGAACAAAACACTGTCTGGTCCTGTGCCAGTCTCACAGTCCTTTTTTTTTGGGGGGGGGGATATAATACCTAACAAATCACTATCTAACTCAAGATCCCAAAGATTTTGTCCTGTTTTCTTCCAGAAGTTTTATAGCCTTATATTGTACATTTATGTTTATAATGCATTTTGAGTTAATTTTTGAACATGGTACAAGGTACTGATTGAGATTCATTTTTTTTTTCATATGGAAATCCAATTATTCCAGCATCATTTGTTGAAAAGGCTATGTTTTCTTTAATGAATTGCCTTTGCACCTTTGATGAAAATCAACTGACCATATATGTGTGAATCTATTTCTGGACTCTAGTTGTTTCATTTTATATTATGTATATTGACAGGGAACTTCCAGAGATGCAAGCTGGATTCAGAAGAGGATATGGAACAAGTAATATCATTGCTGATGTCAGATAGATCTTGGCTGAAAGCAAAGAATACCAGAATGATGTTTACTTGTGTTTTATTGACTATGCAAAAGCATTCGACTGTGTGGATCATAACAAACTATGGCTAACATTGAGAAGAATGGGAATTCCAGAACACTTAATTGTGCTCATGAAGAATATATACATAGACCAGGGGGCTGTCATTCAAACAGAACAAGGGGATACTGCATGGTTTAAAATCAGGAAGGGTATGCGTCAGTGTTGTATCTTTTCATCATACTTATTCAATCTGTATGCTGAGCAAATAATCTGAGAAGCTAGACTATATGAAGAAGGACGTGGCATCAGGATTGGAGGAAGACTCATTAAAAACTTGCACTATGCAGTTGACACAACCTTGCTTGCTGAAACTGAAGATAACTTGAAGCACTTACTGATGAAGGTTAAAGACTACAATCTACAGTATGGATTACATCTCAACATAAAGAAAACAAAAATCCTCACAACTGGACCAAAAAGCAGCATCACAATAAATGAAGAAAAAATTGAAGTTGTCAAAGACTTCATGTTATTGAATCCACAATCAACACCCATGGAAGCAACAGTTAAGAAATCAGACATTGTACTTCACTGGGCAAATCTGCTGCAAAAGACCTCTCTAAAGTGCCAAAGAGCAAAGAAATCTCTTTGAAGGTTAAGATGCACCTAACCCAACCATGGTATTTTCAAACACCTCATATGCATGTGAAAGCTGGACAATGAATAAGGAAGATCAAAGAAGAGTCGATGCTTTTGAGTTATGGTATTGGTAAAGAATACCAAAAGTACCATAGACTGCCAGAAGAATTAACAAATCTGTCCTGGATGAAGTGCACCTGGAATGCTTTTTGGAAGGGAGAATGGCCAGACTTCATCTCCTCTACTTTGGCCATGTTGTTAGAAGGGAGCATTCCCTGGAGAAGGATATCATGCTTAGTAAAATGGAGGGTCAGAGAAAAAGGGGAAGACCCTCAAAGAGATGAATTGACATAGTGGCTGCAATGATGGGCTCAGGTATAGCAAGGATTGTGAGTATGGTGCAGGACCAGGCAGTGTTTTGTTCTGTCGTACACTGAGTTGTTATGAATTGGAGCTGACTCAACAGTACCTAACAACAACCAACATGATCTTGTTTCATTGATCCATTTCTATTTGCCGATCTTTATGCCAATATCATAGTGCCTTACTTTAAAGTTGCAGTAATGAAGACCGTGTGGTATTGGCACTTTTCAGCTATTTCAAAGTGTCACATTCATTTGGTGGGGAGATCAAGTATAGTCTGTCTAAACTCACAGAATGCATGAG